GGCCTTGTTTGGTTCATCTTCCTCATTGATGCCGCCACGCGACACCCGAGTGAATATGGTACTAAGCAGAAAATTCATTCTGCCTTCGTGCGCAGCAAGCCATTGAGCCGCTTTTTCAAAAGCAGCGAAGATCATGAGCATGCCGTCTTCTTTCTCCTCAGAGTGTAACAAACACCAATTTGCAACCTCTAAGTGAGGGTTTTGTTTGTTCAAAACGGCGATTGTTTCCCGGACATCCGCAAGCATATTAATAGCTTTTGGTACCCACGCCGTTACCCTTCTCATCTTTGGTAGTTCATCTTCCCGAACTATGTGCAGCTTCGCCCCTTCCCATGGGGAGAGCGTTGGTACTGTCGCGCGAAGCCAGTTCAGAGAGAATTCATTTTGGCATGCAACCCTGAAAACTTCCCCTGAATAAGAATAGTTTTCGAAGACAGGCGGCTCGCCATCTTTATTAAGCTCTTCTAGGAGCCTATCAATTAGGTGCGTGCGGATTTCGTCCGCTCCGTCACGCGTAACTTTTCCCATCTTATTATCGCCAGACAGGATGGCCACTCTCAAGTGCGAGGTCGCAGCATCTCTGAAGGACCGCTTCGGTGGTTTTGGTCCGGAGCTGGTATTTGCCCCTTCCTTTCTCGGAAACTTTCCGCGAGGTCGGGTGGGGGTATCTGAGTCTTCCGACCTCAGTTGCTTTGTGGTTGCTCCGTCTTTCGTGGACGACGGTCGACTTTTGCCGTATGATGGCTTCCCTTTCGCTTTAGGCGCATTTTGCTGCTGTTGCCGCAGCTTCATATTTTTTCTCCTCCTCGCTTCAGCCCCACAGATACGATTAGAGTAATAGCGGGGATAGGTAAACCCTTCACCCGCATCTCTAGAGGTCGTTGGGGCCTCTGCGCTCGTCCCATCAGACGGGGGTGTAATAGTCGCGATAGCGCGCTTCCCATCTTCTGATGGGGGCGCTTTGTTTTTCGCGCATACGCTCTTCCCATCCTTTGACGGGGGCGCTGTTTCCTTACCCTTGGCGCTCTTCCCGTCCTTTGACGGGGGCGCCTTGTTCGCTGGCTTTCGCTCCATCTAGCGCTTTTGACGCAAGACGCACGTCACCGAAACGACCGGTCTGGACGCGTTGGAGACTAGCCCTTTGAGGTTATGTTCGTAATGCTTCAAGTGAAAAAGAAACAAGAAGCCGAGTATAAAACGTAATATACGTTAAAAGACTTACCGGATTTGGTGAAAAATAACACACACCGGTGTAAGGAATCACTAGGTGACCAAAAAAACACAAATTGAGGCACTAAAACACGCGAAACGCGGAGCGCTCAATTTGCACGTGTTACCGGTACGAGTTCTCAAACCGGTCTCCAGTCACGCGGGAAATTTAAAACTATTTCGTTTTGTTGATAAAATTACGCCAAATTTCGTTTCTTTTTTTTTCTCGTGGTACTCTGAAGAGTCGAAAGCCGAACTGCTATTTTTACAACTCCACAACGGCATTATTTTTGTAAATAAGTGGTAACATGCACTGAGAAGCTGTCAAACCGCCATTTTGGCTCGAATATTTCGAATACATACACAGGCTTTATGAACCGCGGTACTTTGATAATCTAGGGACTTTAACTTAAACTGTAATATTTTATTTTCTTTTAATTATATCACTTTTATATGCAAACGTTGTCTAAACTATTTTACTTGAATCATATGCCTATATGTAACACATATTATTAAAATGGAATGATTTTTAAACAAATTTCAACATCTCACGATTTCTCATGATTTTTTATGACATGGATCACGACATTCTATGTGTAGTGCGCCGCGGCTGGTGTCATTCCGTGACTTTCACAGTTTTGTTGTTGATGCTTTCTCATCCGATCTTAGTGCTGTTCCCTGGCATCATGTGACTCAATTCAGCAGTATTAGTGACAAAGTTGACTTTATAAATTTTCATATTCTTTCGCAGTTTGATGTGCATGGTCCGGTGCGTACTGTTATTCTGCGTCGTAAACATAAGTCATGGATAACAGATAAAATTAAGTTGCTGTTTAAACTGAGGCATAAGACATATTCTAAATATAGATCCAGCCAATGATTTTAGCCAATTTTAATTACTATAAACTATTCCGTAATTATGCAAAGGTGCCATTAGGAAGGAGAAAAGGGCATTGGTCGCTTCTTTCAGGGCAGGCGTGCGCGAGAGATGTGGAGTACTTTTGCATCCATGGGTGCTATCCCTGCGAGAAATCGTTCTATTCCCGATCATATCGGCGCTGTAGCTTCAATTAACAATTTTTTTCTGTCAACCCAAACATTTCATCATGGCAATGCAGATATGATTTCCGATTTTTACTCTAACGTCATACCACAAGTAAGCGAATGTTTTAGATTTCTTTTACAGATGAGGAAGAAATATGGAAGATCTTGAACGATATTCAAAGCAATGCTGTTGGTGCCGATGGGATCAGTCTTAGAATGTTACGTTTGTGCTGTCCTGTGATCTTGCCCTTTCTGTGTCATATGAATTGGTGTATTGAATTTTCGGTATTTCCTGAGCAGTGGAAGCTTGCTATCGTTGCGCCGGTTGCGAAATCCAACAACCCCAAGGAGCTGAATGATTTAAGACCCATCTAAGATTTTTGAAAAGATTGTTGCTGTGCGCGTGGGTTCATTTTCACAGTTATTGAATATCTTGCCTCAACTGCAGTCAGGTTTTAAGTCAGGTTTTAGTTGCACTACTGCATTATTGGATGTTGTGGATGACATCATTCGGGCACGTGATGATAGGTATGCTGCTGCTCTCGTATTGTTGGACTTTTCTAAAGCCTTCGATACATTACACCATGCGACCTTACTTGTTTTGTTGCACCATGTTGGCTTCTCCGATGCTAGGTCGCGCACAAGTAGTCAGGTTTAACAATTTAGAATCTGAAAAACTTCAAATTGTGTCAGGTGTTCCTCAGGGTTCAGTTTTGGATCCGATTCTTTATTTAATTTACACTTACCGTCTTTGCACAGTTTTGCAGCATTGTTCAGCGTATATGTATGCTGATGATACCAAACTATTACATAGTTTTATTATTAAATTAATTCTATTAATTCTGCACAAGAACAGTTAAGTTCGGATTTGACAGAGCTTATCGGAGAGGCTAATAAACTATGTTTGTAAATAAACCCAAAAAGTCAGTTGTTCCATTGTTTAGTAATGATAACGTTATTGAATCAGTTGGAGATGATTTTAGTGTCGTCATTGATGGAAATAAGCTTAATGATGTTAAGGAGGGACGTAACTTGGGCATTATCTTGGATAGCAGTTTAAGGTTTAGAAGGCGAGATGCCTTTTGTTTGTTATTGCAACGAGCTTATTCTACTCTTAGATTGTTATATAGTAACAGGCATCTGTTCAGTAGACAGATCAAAATTCATCTTTGTGAGACCCTTGTGTTGTCCCTATTTAATTTCGGTGATGTACTCTATCATCCTTATCTGAATGGTGTGGATGTGTCTAGAATTCAAAGGGCGCAAAATGTGTGTCTGCGGATGCGTGTGAAGTTGGCCATAGATTTCAGCCATAGATTTTAAACTGAAAAAAATGCGTGATCGGGGTATTCAATCGATCTAATTTCAACGGCATCGTATTCATGGTCGCCTCTTGTTTCAGATTCGAAAAGAAAATTTTCCTAACCATTTCTTATTATCCGGGAAAATCGATTTTCTTCAAACTTTCGCAAAATTCGGCTCGTTCGGGGTTTTTAATCGATCTAATTTCAACGGCATCGTATTACTGGTGGCCTCTTGCTTCAGATTCGAAAAGAAAATTTTCCTAACCATTTCCTATATTCCGGAAAAATTGATTTTCTTCAAACATAAGTAAATGTCGGGCTGTTAGGGGTTTCTAATCGATCCCATTTTAACGGCATTACATTCCTGGTCGCTTCTTGCTGCAGATTCGAAAAGAACATTTTCTAACCATTTCTTATATTCCTGGAAAATCGTTTTTCGACCAATATAAATTTGTTACCCAAAAGATACATCCTAAATCTTTCAATAGCTTCAGTAGGTGCCAATATTTCCAATTCAAAACTGTGATACTTGCTTTCTAGTTCTGTTGTCTGTCTGCTGTAATACATTATTGGTTGTAAGGCTCCCTTCAGCACTCGTTATAAAATAATTTCTGCCAATCTGTTTTTGCTCGCATCTGAGTGTACTCCTAGGTTGGCTTCATCGTTGTATAATTTTAGTATCGGCTTGTGTGTTAACCGAGTCTTCAATTCTTGAATGCCTGTTCTTGGTCTTCGGTCCAAGTCCAATGGGCTTCTTTTCTAGTTAATAAGGTAAGCGGTTTTGCAATCAAGGCGTAGTTTTGCATACACTTTCTGATGAATCCGGTTAGACCCAGGAACTGTCTAACCTCACGTGCGGTTTGTGGCGGCTTGAAGTCCCGTACAACTTGAATCTTTCTCGTTCCAGGACGTATTCTATCTCCGGTCACTTCCAAATCCAAATAATTAACTTTTTGTTATCAACATTTTGTTTTGTTGAGCGTTAAGCCCTCTTCTTGAAATACGCGCAACACTTGTTGTAACTTTTCTATACCTTCTTTTACAGTTTTGCTCTGGATGAACACATCATCCATGTACACTGAAACTACCCAGATTTTAATGTATTAGTCACATGAGTCTTAACCTTCCGGCGCGTTAACCAGTCCAAAAGGCATGCGGGTAAATTCGTATTGTCCGTCCGTGGTTACAAAAGCAGTAAACTTTCGACACTTTTCCGCGATAGGAATTTGGTAATACCCGCTTGACAAATCTAATATAGTAAAATATTTATTTCCCGACAGCCCGTCTAGCTGCTCGTCAATGTTCATCATCGGCACATATATTTTCTTTGTTATTTGGTTTAAGCGTCTATAATCTACACATAAACGTTCATCACCGTTCGATTTCTTTACCAAGATTGTCGAACTTGGGTAATCCGATGCCGTCATTTTGCAATCATTTTGCTTACGATTTCGCGTAAGGTGTACGATATGGTCGGCATGTTATTGGTTCGTTGTCGATTAATTCAATAACCATTTCCGTCGATTTAGTTTGCCCGATTTCGTTAAAATTTCTGGCAAATATATCGTCATTTTGAAGCAAAACTTCATTCAATTCTTCTCTAGTTAGGTTCCCGTTCATGTTATCTTCATCTTCCACATTGTTCTCTTCTTCATCTTCCATCTTACTCTCTTCTTCATCCTCTTCACCCTCACTTCTTCTGTAGTCATCTTCATTCTTTTCCTTATCGTCTTCATCGCCTTTGTCCACTTTTACATTTTCATTCTCTTTGTTTATTTCGTTTTCTTGGACATTGTTCTCGTTAGCAATGGTTTGCAAAGTACATTGAATCCTTAAAGTGTCACCTTGCTTAATTAATAGGATGTTTGGATCCTTAAAGGCAGAATTGCCGATAATCATTTCTACATCAACTACAATATCGTCGATTTTTAAAGTTATTTGACGTTTACCAATTGTGCAGCTCTTCATTCCTCCAAATCCTTTCAATTGAATTGCGTAAGGAATGTACCCTAAATTTAAATTGTGTGCGTTGCGTTTTCTCATTGTTACTACTTCACTGCCTAGATCTATGAATCTTCTTACTTCTTTTCCATCGACGCTAACCATATTACGGTATTCGTCGGGAATTTCTAATTTTGCAGTTTTATTCACAGTTGTTGCATTTGAAATATCTAGGTTTTCTCTGTGGTATTGGACATTTCATCGAGAGATGCCCAATTTTGTTGCAATTGTAGCACTTTCTTTCTTTCTGTGTCTCGTTTCCATCCTTCTGATATTCATGTTTATAGATTTTGTTTTGACGTTTGGTACGGAGAGTTATGTTTGTAGGTAGATGTTGACGTTTTCATCACACTTTCATACTGTTTCATTTGTATAAGAACATCGCGCACAGCATTAACAGCATTCAACGCTAACGACTTTGCTAAGTCTCTATCATGTATACCATTAATAATATATTTGATAACCGCTTTCTCACTTATGGTCCCTTTACTTGCGATTGCTTTCATCTCATACACATAATGTTCATATGATTCAGAAAACTTTTTCTTTCTTTTTGCCAATTCGTAATGTATTCGGCGTCATGAATTAAAGTAGGAAAATCTTTACATAATAAGGTTTTAAAAGATGTCTAATTAGAAGTAAGTGACTGGTATCCATCGTACCAGTTTTGCAGGGCCTGCCAATTTGGATATTCCCTTAAAAAGCAAAATTTGATCGTTCCATCCAAAGACGGTGGCTTTTGATTCTAATTTATTTATCCATTGTGGTGCGGTAAGCGAACTAGATGAATCCGGATTAAATTCCGGTAAAATCGGTATATTACTCACATGTGATGACGTCACGCTAGTACCACGTTGTGTACCCACATTTATACTCATTCGGTTTAGGTTTTTTCCAGTTCAAACAACTCTCGCTCGTGTTTCAACAAGTCTCGCTCTCTTTCCAGCATTCTTCGTTCACACATGAAAGATTGCGTCATATTTACATCGCCCGTTTTGTCCATCGTTGCGAAATATATATAATATATATGTATTCCTCCATGTTTACCTTAAAACCGGCGTTGTCCGATTCGTTGGGCTCGGCATTGGCCATTCTTAATTTTCTTTATCCCTCCGCTGCTTTGTTATAAAGAATAAGAGAGCGACCCTTTTTACGTTTTTCACTCTTTTATTAATTATTTATTATAAAAAAAAGATACAACGGAACTTTTTATCTTTTTCAACTAATGTCTCTACCCGACACTCCGCCCTAACCCATTCGCTGTTACAAGAAGATGCCAGCTTCAAACTACAAATGGCGTTAGTTCTTACATGAGATAATATGTACATTTTAAAGTAAATGTAATCTATTTTTATTATATCAAATGAAAACATTTAATTTTCGTTAATTTCGATGTAGTAATGTTTTTGGTTGCACCCTGTTAGTTAATGGTTATTAGTATATTAAGTATTTTTCTTTATTTCGAATCATTAAAGTGTACCTCATAAAAATCGATTTAAAAACGATTTAATCGTAAATTTTTAATTCACCATCATCAGATCACATTCCATTAAGGGCAATTTCTTAAAAACGACTGGATGGCTTGATTTACATTCATTTTGTTTTAAGCACAGTTTAAACAGGATGTGGGTTAAAACCTTAGGTTTTTTAAAAATGGAACATTTTTTTGATCAAATCCACGCATCTCCACTTCAACCAGTTTATAAAAACAGTATCATATTAAGTATTATTTTAACTTTAATCTGGATTATTTATCCCATCATACAAAAATTTACGGGTAAGTCTTCAACAAAAAAATCTAGACTTAAATGTAATAATATTTTTTTAAGATACTCAAACAGATCCTTATTCATATTTGTTCGATATCCTCGTATTTATAATGTACACAAATATAGTAGTTACAGCTTTATTAATGAGTAACGAAAGAGGCAAAATGATAAACGTAATGAATAACTTAAGCGATTTTAATCGCTTTGGAGTTCCAACCGAGCTTCGTTTTATCGATAATTTCGTTAAATACGGATACAAATATCTTTATTATCTCACACCGTACTCATTTACAATTTTATGGAACGCAAAATTGTTAAGGAAAAAATGTTTTAATAACACTCCAAACACCTGTTATTTATATTTGGGATATTATATGCCGTATAAACTCCAACCGTGGTTTGAAGGATTTTTGGTTGTACGCGAAATATTTTTCTTCGTTGCAGTTTGGAATTTGATTATAGGGGCGATAGCTTTGTTTGCGTACTCGTTTGAATTGATTATAATTCGTTTAAGACATATTACTTTGTTAATAAATCAAATTAAATTTAAAATTGGGGATAAACAAAACGTACATCTCCGCCGAGTTATGCGATATCATCAAGAAATTTTTAGATTGTTTAATTTTGTTTATAAAGTTTATGGAAAACTAATTGTGCTACAACGAATTTCTAGTGTTGGGTGCATTATTTTACTTGCTTCAACTTGTGCTTTGGTTAGTATTTAATTGTGTTACTTAAAATTTTTATTTATCATTTGTGTCATATTTTTAAGCGATTCGATATATTTGTTTGGTTTCTTATGATCTCATGCTTATTATCTTTGATGATATTTAATTCAATTGGACAACGTATTATTAATGCGGTAATTAAATAAATATACTACGAAATAAGAAATTAATCTTTTTAATTTTAGAACGTTTCTTTAACTGACGCTATTTATGATATGAATTGGTATGATGCGGATGTTAAACTTAAAAAGGACGTTTTGATTTTCTTGTGTTTAAGTCAACTCACTTTTAACATCAAATTCGGAATATTGGGTGTTGTGTCTTATCCTTCAATGACTGGGGTAAAATAATATAAAAAAATATTTGGAGAAAAATTACCATAATTTTTTTGCAGGATCTTAAAAAATGTTATGCTTGGTTTAGAACAATTTCTACTTTGATTTCAAAAAAGAAATTTTAAAAATCACCATTTAAAATTTTAATATTAAAAGAATTGTTGGATATAAATTTAAATTAATAAATGTTTAATTTCAAACTCATCTTCTTCTTTTCCTTCATTGGCGCTACAGCCCAAATCGAGCCTCGTTCTCCTCAATGTTGTATCGTGAGCTCTTCACTCACGATATCGCCTGTCATTTACTTTGAATCAGGAGTTTGCTATTATATCAAATCATATCAAATCACTTTTATTCACCCTTTTAGACTACAATTAATAGTATATGTCGGTAAAAAAAGAAAAAAATAAGTACACAATATAGTAAACAATAATAAACACATAATAAGCCAAGAAAAGAATAAACTAATCGTTATAATATTCATCTAGAGAATAATAGCATGCTTCCGTGATCCTTTTTTTAAGAATAATTTTAAATTTGTCCAAAGGTAAAGATCTAACATCATTTGGTAATTTGTTAAATATATTGGCGCGCGAGTAGAGCGGCGACGTACCATGTCGAGTTGTACAAGTCGAAAGTTAATATTGTAATTATTATTTTGTCTTTTTAATATCGTGTTATATTGGATATGAAGGTTATATTATTTTTCGTACCATATCGATGTTATTTATTTATTTATTTTCTTCTACATGTTTCGAGGAAACTGGTCCCTCATCTTCAGGAAGAGATCCTGTTACAATTACAAATATCTAATATTATTGTCTTAATTATGCTTTAAATTACTTAAGGTTATGTTATTGAATTCATTGAATTCTTAATTAACAAAATACCATAAAATACAATAAGCCTGCGTCAAATTTCGTTAGTTGATATTAATGATGACTATTGATTATTTATGTTATTCTTGTTATCTCCTCGTTGTTGTCGTAGTTTTTGGTAATGGATGCATTTAATATTTCGCATTCGGTTGGTATCACTAAATTCGTATTTCTAGTTGTTTTTATGTTTTAAATTTAAAATTCAAATTTCAAATTTAAAAGGTTTCCTTTTTAAAAAACTTTAAAATTATTTCTTAAGATCTATTTGTCATTTATTTAATTTTTATTCTATCATTAGAGGTATGTTGGGAAAGGATGTAGGTTGTGTGATAGGATTTATGTGGGTTAGGATCGGAGTGTAGCCAAGGGAAGACAAAGTTGCAGAACCAAGGTACTACTTTATTGTTGGCTTGGTCAAATTTACATTTTCTATTTTTTTTAAATTATTTGTATACTCGATAAATTTAATATTGCTATTCAAAATTTTCTTATAATTTTTAATTACTTTATTTTTAATTTTAAATTCACAATTATTAATATTTTTAATAAGATAAACACCATGGATTATAATGGTATCTTTTTCTTTATTACATTTTTGAATTAATTTATTTTCTTTAGCACTTAATAACAATTTTACATTAGAATTGATATCAATTATCTCAAAATCATTTATACGAAAATGTTCGTAAACGCAATTTTCATAATTATCGTCAATATTTAAAATATGAATTTCACATGGAGAATTATTATTAATAAAATGTTCTATTTCATGATTACATAAATAGGTTTCTTTTCTAATTTCTAAACAAGGCTGATCTGAATTAATAAACAATTGATCTTTAACACCTAAATATTTAAATGTTGGAGTTATTTGTTTAAATGTGTTATTATTCAAAAATATCGGTAGCGCACGAATAATATTGATAAGGTTCATTACTAACTATCGGTGTTAGTAACACAAATACATAGTGTTTCTCGTTTTGATAAACTTTAATCTTAATTAACGATTCTATATCATAAATCTTATCGACTATTACATCAAAAGGAAATTCGTCATTAACATTTAAATGAATATTTTTAATACAATCTAAAAGTAAGTTTGATTCGATTACGGTAGGATGTAAAATGCCTAATTTTGCAAAAGTAATCGTCTGCAGTAAATCTTGCAATCTATCTCTTAATTGATCCAAGATTATTAATTGGTGATTTAATATCTCTAATGCATTTACTCTTAACTCTGTTTTTTCTGCCTTTAATGCTAATTCTTCTTGATTTTTTACCATTATTTCTATTGACTTTTCAAAATTTGTCGTAACGTTATCTAATATTAGCAATTGTGTGTTCATAACGTTTTTCATTTTTTCTTGGCTGTTTTGTAGATTCAATAGCGTTTCT